TTTATTTGTAGGTTATTGTAATCTAGGGTGAAACCCTGGTCCCACTGAAATCAATGGCAAAAACTCATACTGAGTTCATTTGGGCCAGGATTTTACCCATAGGGTTTATTAAACTCAGCAATAATAACAGTGAATGCATGTAGCCAACAGACTCCCTCTTGAATGCTGCCGCCCCCCGCCCCACATGTTGTTTAGTGGTCTGCAAGTCTTGTTTGCTGCAATCCTGTCACTCAACACTCCCTAAAAGTGCAAGATGTTATCACTTTAACACTTCCTGATGCAAGTCAGGGGAAGGCTGCTGGGGACCAAATTTCTGCCTCACTGACAGAACAAAAGCATGTGTTGTTTGTTTTGACTCCACTTAATAGTTTTGTTAATCACATATTATACTATACACACACACACACACACACACACACACACACACACACAGAGTGTAATAATTTTGTTTAATGTAATTCCTACAGAAACAGACATAATTCTTCACAGCAGATTACAGTTATACATAAAGTTGTTAATAATATCTACATAATGGGTCAAACTCCACTATCCGTATATGGGTGTAATGTTGCTGATTGCAGAGGTGATACATGTGTATCACACAGTAGAATCTGATGCAATATCTGCTAAGTGCTAAGACAGTCCAGAAATGGGGAACAATAGCTACATTTCAGGGACCAGGATACATGAAGAAAAAGACTCAGTTAGACAAATGTTTGTTTTATTAGAGAGAGAGAGAGGTGTCAATTAGCCAGAGGGGGCTATACCAGATGGTGGTAGGCGGCTTTGGAAGATCTACCATGCTTTATGGAGAGGTGTCAAGAAGGGACAAATATTAGGGTATTTGATGGTGGCAGGGAATGACCTCAAGGACAGAAAATATAAGGTTCCTCAATTAAAAATGGTAGCTGCAACTGTCAACAAACACAGAATAATTGTAATCACTGTATCCCACATTACTCATTAATTTGTTAATTAGTACCCCCATTAATTTAATGGTATAATCAATTTTTATTAACTAGTTTGTTATGCATCCATTTTCAACTGCTGATGAAGTAGGAGAAATTACCTGTCATAGCATTGAAATGTCATCAGAGTAAAGCCAAGTTTTCAGGTTATAAATGTTCTTTATTACAGCGGCCACAAAATGAATTTATCACTTCAAGTGTCTTTTGATCTTGCCTCTGTGAATAAATGGAAATTCTTGAAAAATGGTTAATTTAATAAAATGTAGCAACCCCACACTTCAAAAGTAAGCCCCTAATCCTGCAAAACTGTTTCATGGAGGTGGACCCTTCTGTTCATGTGGAATCACATTGACTTCAGTAAGATTCTGCATGAACTCAGGGAATGAATTGCTGGATTTTGGACAACCTGAGATATGGAGAGTTAATATTAGGGAGACCATAATAGAAGTAATTACAGGAAGGAAGAAAGGTGAAGACCTTTATACAAAAGTTTCAACTGAGTAGTCAATCTCCAGGGCAAAAGTTAGCCCTTGTAGAAGTGACACAAATTGTTTTCCCATATACATTCATTTGAGAGGTTTTTTTTTTCCAGCAGGGGTGGAGTGCCCTCTTTTCTCTCCCCAGTCCAAATCCAACAAGGCTGATGGATGTGAATCAAAGCACAATATTCATTTCTCACTTGGCCCCAGATCCTGCACTGAAATCCGCTAGTGCAGAATCTTTACCTCTGCAATCAGGACCATGGTCTTTACATGACAGTTCATGTCAAACTATCCTTTAGTGAAAAATTCTGGAACTGTAATAATGGTAGCAAATGTTTTCTCTTAAGATTTAACCCCCTCCCCAACTCTCTACAGTACCAAATCTGAAATATTTTTGCGGTCTTTTGCAGATATTCTTACCTGCTATGCATTCAGTGCAACTTTCTAAAAATAAAACTAAATTATTTTACAATTTGCAGGCGGGTTTCCTGGGCTTCTAGTAAGGTTTAGAAGGTCTCCTGAGTGGGCAACACAAGAGCAACATTACTAGAGATCAATATGCCCTTCCTGTTCCTAGGACCACATGCCTACCCATTGCCTCTTCAGTCTCATCTGATTGCTGTTCCTGGGATAAACATCCCTTTGCAGGACCTAAGGGAGGAAGGTGAGTTCCCCCCAGTGTAGTGTATAAAACAAGAAGTGCAACAAGCTCGAAGAAGATGTTTCTCATCTATTAGGATATAATAATGTAGCTCTTTACTTGTAACAATAATTATTCAATTTTCAGATAAGAAATATTATTTTAATTACCTCGCCCCCCCCCCATCTCTTGATCTACTTCTGTACATCCTTGGTAGAGGATCGTGTGAGCTAGAAAGCTTGTCTCAGGATCTGAACTTTCCCCATGTTTGCAGTAGGTTTGGATCTGAGGTTCCAGATTAGGCCCATCACTACTTTTTTGTATCAATTTTGTATCAGAAAAAGATTTTGCATCCCATTTTTGTGGCCGTTTTAAATCAACCCAGCATCTTTCTGCAGAACCCCTGGACCTTCCAAAATCATTTCTGGTGTGTGTGATTCCTCTCTTTCGGTTCATTGATAGATCATCACCCCCTCACTAGTAAAAAGGCTACCAATGCAGTCTCTCTACTGGGTAAAGCTGCAGAAGAAGGGGCAGGTTCAGTGGCACTGGCACAATTTGTACAGTGGTGCTGAAAGCCACTGAACAAAATTATAAACCCTCCCTGCATATGAGTGAAACCACTTCAAGACAGCAACTCTTGGCTGGTTCCAGAAAGAGGCCACTGAAGGTTGCAGCCTGATGGGTAGGAAGAGGCCAGCAGGGGCAGTTGTCTGTCTGTGGGGAGCTCCAGCAGCTGGCTATGGGGAAGGAAGGCGGGGGCAACAGCCGCTTTGCTGTTCTAGCCGCGGAGTCTCCGGCACGTGGGCGTGTTTATCCAGACGGGGAGGGACCCACGGAGCCAACACCTCCCAGGCGCCGCCTCT